CGCTTTGTTTTAAGTTGAGTTACATCTATATCACAGCCGTACCACATAGAAGAAAATTAAAAGTGAAACTTTCATGATTTCCTCATACATGAAATTCTAATTCGTATTCAGATTTTAAAGGATTTCATCTAATTAGACTTAATTGATTAATCACAGCAGCTCTGGTGTTATATCAGAATCAGGGTGAGCACATCTAGATTTCTGAAAAAGAGGACACCTAGCTCTTTCTTGACATATGATACTCAATTGTTACTAAAAATACTTAATAGTTATTAACTAATTTAAAAACATATAATTAAAGACTCCTTAGTATCATGAAATGAAGTTAAAATAATGGCCGCTGCAGACGGGCTAACGTTAGCCCTGGCTGCCGCCGTCCTCTCAACATCGGAACTTTTTTTTTTTTTAATTACGCATTAAATCAGTAAATGTTCCATATAGTGAAGCTTAAAATATAATTTTCTCACCTCTAATTATCTTAAAACGTACTTTTATTGAACAACAGAAACAGAAAAGAGAACTTTTAACTTAATTCTCTGAGCTCTGTGAGCGCTTACCTGGAAGCTGCTGCTGCTGCAGTGCATGCTGGGACAGCTGTCAGTCTGGAGGACGGACAGCTCTGCTCTGATGCATGCTGGGTAAAGAGGGAGGGGCCAGAACAACATCCGGGGACTTTGTCCGTTCTTGGTCTTCTTGTTCATTGGATTGGAACAGTACTAAGGTTTAGGCTAAAGACGTTTTTTGAGTGGATGAGAACGCACAAGTACACTGATTGTGAAACGTCTTCCGTTGTGACGGCCTCAACTACAGATATGGCGCCCGCCGCACGGCTAAAGGGCTCCATAGCGCCATCTGCCAGAGCGGAGTTGTAGATGTATCCCGTTTTCCCTCATTGTTTTAGTCAAAAATATATATATTTTTATAATTAACACTAGGAACTGAACAATCAATATTAATTTGGCAGCTGAAAATCCCGATATATCGGAAATACATTTTTTCCCACACCCCTACATGACCGTAACAGCAGCCTTCCTGTGAGGACTAAATAATGACGATCCTTGTTTTAACCTGCAGACGTCCAAAAACCAGCAGAATAATGAATCCGCTGCCTTCTTTGACAGATAGAGGTTTAAAGTTTAAAACAAGGCAGCCTTCCTGTTATCCTCTCTCTCCTGGAGGCTTAAAGAAGCAGAGCATTTTTATAGAAATAGCTTTTCCTCTATGTAGCGTTTAACAGCTCTGTGCTTTCTCAGTATCTCAGACTGATAACAGCAGTCTGACTCTGACTCCGCCCCTCTCTGATGGCTTCCGCATCGAGTGCTGCTGACGACGCCTTTAGTTCTGGTTCCTTTTCATGTTTTCCTTCTTCCAGGTCAGACTGGGCTGAAAATCAGACCCCACACTATTTCCTGATGCATTAAAATGCTGCAAGCCCAGAAAAACAGATTTAACAAATAATGAGAAAATTAAACCATATTTTAATAATTTTACTCTTCTGCAAAATGATGTTTTAATGGATTACATTTATTTAATCTGCTTTTCATCTGTGAAGGGGAATGAGGAGAGACCCAGATGTTGAACAGGAGATTCCCTTCATGTGTTTTACCTGCTTTGTTCTCTGCTTGCAGGATCCGTTGGCAGGAATCTGGCCAACAAGCCCAACGTTTACGTATCGAGCAGCGCTGGAGCTCGCTGGAAAGAGGTCAGTACGGAAGGCGCCGCAGACGGCGAGACGAGAACCGGCGGCTTGTTTCTATGACGTCAAAATACAGAAAAGGCCGATCTGTTGATCGATCTGTGAGGTTAAACTAACTGGATTAGGATCCAAACGTTTCAATATTCCTGCAGAGCTATTAGGTCGTTTATTTCGTTTATGCTTCGGTTGTAAATAATGTTTAACAGTTTCAGGACTTTTACCTCTGAGTTATGTCTAAGTTTTACTTTACAACAAGCAGAGTTGGGTATTGATTCAGATTTTAATGCAGAATCCAATCGGTAAGATTCAAATATACTTTATTATTAATCCCAAAGGAAAATTAAATGTTGTAGTAAGTCATAGTTTTTGTTGTTGCTGTTTTTAACCAGTTGTTCTCGGTGTTGATGTTGGAAAAACTATCTAGAAATAGGTCAAATATTCTTAGATGAAGTGTATTGACCCTTTATTTGAGCAGGTAAATGAGATAGTTTGCCAATAGAATGAGGATTTTTACTCTTAAAATAAGATAATTACAAACCCAAAACCAGAGAAGTTGGCAGGTTATGTAAATCTAAAATAAAAACAGAATTTAATGATTTGCAAACCTTTTTTAACCCATATTCAGCTGAATACAATGCAAAGACAATATATTTAATGTTCGAACTGAGAAACTTTTTTTTTTTTTTTGCAAATAACCATTAACTCAGAATTTAATGCCAGAAAGATGTTGCACAGGGCATTTCTACCACTGTGTTACATCACCTTTCCTTATGCAGGGTTCCTGCGGCTCCTTAAAAAGTCTTAAAAGGCATTGAATTCTTCAAAATCAAACGAAGGCCTTAATTGGTATTAAAATGTCTTAAATCACTTTTTTGCAGGTCTTAATTTTTAAAACATCATAAATAGGATTATTTTTATTTTTATTTATTTTGGTCCCGATATCAGAACCAATAAAGCATTGTTGCGGCCGGGACATTTGGGAGATGCACCGTTTACTTTTTGTCTGGAGAATATGAGCAAGTGTAAATGTAACAAAATTGTCTCCAGCCAAGAGTTTTCTCCATGGCTAAAACCAGGGAACATGCATGAGGCTCAGTGGATTTATGCAAGAAGTCATTCAAGCTCAGAACGATGGGAATTAAGGCAGTGGAGTCGCACATGCGAAGCACGAAACACAAAGCGTCAAAATGGAGTTACAGAGAAACAGCCGGTATTTCTCAGTTTAGTTCCACCCTTGTCTCTGCAACGCCTCCACTTATCACCAAATCAAACAGACTAAGAAAACCATACAAAGAAAAATAGCTGCTAAAAGACTTAGCACTGGTTATGTTGAGGCTTTAAAACTGATTTGTTTGGTTCCCTGCTAAAACAAAGTTTGTGAATTCAGTTTGTCAGGATTTGGTTATTGAGTGTTGACCCAAAAGCAGAGGCAGAGAGGCAGACGTGAATCTTTTGTGGTTTTAATAATGACTTAACAGAAAACAGCGGCTGGTTATCCAAAAATCCAAAAGGAAAACAAAGTCCAAACAAACATGAAACCAGAAGTCCAAAAATCAAAAACATGAAAACAAGTCTAACATACTAGAAACCATGGGGACATCAGGGGAATCACAAACATAATGAAGAAGGCTCTGAGAGAAGGAGTTGGAGCATGTAGACGGTGTTTGACGAGGACCCAGCAAAGGGGAACTGAAGAGAGAGGGCTTTTAAAGGAGACAGAGACAAAGAGGGGGCTAATGAGGAAACTGGGAGCAGGTGTGCACAGAACAAGAGGGAAAGAGCTAGGGAAGAAGGAGAACACAAGAGGGCAGCAGAGAGCAACAAATAGAAACCTGGAAGACTGGAAATAACACAATGTTAAAAGAAAACATAACAACCCAGACTAGGACAGTAACTGGAAAAAACCAAAGAACACAGCAAGGAGTAAAGCAAGACTAAATACTATAACAGAAACCTGACACAGTTAAATAATTGTTCAAATATATCTGTCATTTGTGTGTTTTTAGCTTTCTTCCTGTATGGGAAGCTTTTCAAAATTTGAAACATTAGTGCAGTGGTTTATGTTAAAATAAACCTTTGGGTTAAGTTGTCGCAGGCAGGATTTTCTTGTATTTTTTTGTGGATTTGGTTTTAAATTTTTATTTCAAGTGGCATTAAAAAGTCTTTAAAAGTCTTGAATTTAACTTGCCTTATGCTGTAGGAACCCTGTTTTAACAACACTCTGTAAACGTTTGGGAACCGAGGAGACAATTTTTGAAGCTTTTCAGGTGGAATTCTTCTAAGCTGACGTACAGCTTAAGATGTTCAACAGTCCGGGTCTCCGTTGTATTTTACGTTTCATAACGCGCCACACATTTTCAACGGGGGGACAGGTCTGGACTGCAGGCAGGTCAGGGGAGTTCCCGCACTCTTTAGCTACGAAGCTGTTGTAACATGTGCAGAATGTGGCTTGGCGTTGCCTTGCTGAAATAAGGAGGGGCGTCCATGAAAAAGACGTCGCTTGGATAGCAGCATATGTATGTAACCTGTATGCACCTTTCAGCATTAATGGTGCCTTCACAGATGTGTAAGTTACCCATACCTTGGGCACTAATGCACCCCCATACCATCACAGACGCTGGCTTTTGAACGTTGCGCCTATAAAAGTCCGGATGGTTTTTGTCCTCTTTGGTCCGGAGGACACGGCGTCTACAGTTTCCGAAAACAATTTGAAATGTGGACTCATCAGACCACAGAAGACTTTTCCTCTTTGCATCAGTCCATCTTAGATGAGCTTGGACCCAGCAAAGCCGGCGGCGTTTCTGGATCTTGTTGATAAATGGCTTTTGCTTTGCATAGTAGAGCTTTAACTCGCACTAATAGATGTAGCGACGAACTGTAGTTACTGACAGTGGTTTTCTGAAGTATTCCTGAGCCGATGTGGTGATTTACACACTGATGTCGGTTGTTGATGCAGCACCACCTGAGGGGTCGAAGGTCACGGGCATTCAGAGTTGGTTTTCGGCCTTGCCCCTTTACATGTAGTGATTTCTCCAGATTCTCTGAACCTTTTGATGATATTACGGACCGTAGATGGGGAAATTCCTAAGTTCCTTGCAATAGAAATGTTGTTCTTGAACTGTTCGACAGTTTTCCCACCCATTTGTTCGCAAAGTGGTGACCCTCGCCCAATTCTTGTTTGTGAATGACTGAGCATTTCAAGGAAGCTGCTTTTATACCCAATCATGGGACCCACCTGTTCCCAATTAGCATGTTCACCTGTGGGATATTCCAAATAAGTGTTGGATAAGTGTTCTTTGTCACTTGTGCCAGCTTTTTTGAAACATCTTGCAGGCATCAAATTCCAAATGTATTTGCAAAAAAATAACAAAGTTTACCAGTTGGAACGTTAAGTATGGTGTCTTTGCAGTGTGTTCAGTTGAATATAGGTTGAAAATGATTTGCAAGTCATTGTATTCTGTTTTTATTCACGATTTACACAACGGGCCAACTTTTCTGGTTTTGGGTTTTGTAGGTAACGTAGACTTGAAATAAGACAATGCAATTGTGTTTTCTTATTTTAAATGTAAATTATGTTCCTCCATTGGCAAAATGTTTCTTTTATTTATTTAATCCAAGAAGAAATGGTTTTATTTTAAGAAAAAAAGACTTCTCTAGATTTAGATTTTATGCCAGTGTAGAAGGGAAGGATCCGACTGAAGAAGTCAGAGGCTTCAGGAAATCACTGCTCTCCATGATCTTCACTATGAGGAATCCTTCTGTGTGAAATCATCTCCAGAGTTCTTAGAACAGTTGAGCTTTTTTTGCCCTTGCCATGATAAGAACCTAAGTTTCTCAGGTTTTTTGGTCCAGCTGATTGTTGATGCCTTCGCCTTCTTAGAGTCAGGCTGTTAAATGTTCTGGAGAAATCAAAGAACCGGATCCTCACATTGCTGTCTGCCTTGTCTAAATTACAGCAGGTTTGTTGAAGCAGGTCTAAGATGGCATCTTGAACTGATTAATCCAAGAAAAAATGCATTTATTTTAAGAAAAAAATACTTCTTTTCCAATGGAACAAGACAATTTACATTTACAAATAGAAACAAAAATGGCATTCGCTTAT